TACACACACAATGATATAGCATTACTTCTTTAGCTAAGAACGTTAGCTCGGGAAATAAACACTATGTATAAATATATATAAATATGTGACCTTAGTTCATATATTGCTAACGCTATTTTGAATATGTATACAGTATATGTATTAGCTCAGGTGCTAACATGAAAGCTAATAGGCTAAGCTAATGCTTTCTTGCCATGAAGCAGCTCTGTTGTCCTCCATTATTATTTTCTGCTTCCGACTGAGTCACTTCTTCACTCTCCTCTCTGTCGAGGCACTTAGGTTTAATTTAAATRGGTTGATTGTCAGATATCGTCCAAAATGAACCTTCAGGATGGATAGAGCTCTCGACTGGTGGAAAGCCTAGTAAACCTGGTATGCTTTGCAGAGTACATAAATGTTGCTGTACGTGTGAMAATATATTAAAATTTATAAAAACGAAAAAGCCTACAGTATTTTTATAGTCTTTGTTTTACACTTGATGTAAATGTTTATCGAATAATGCCTGTTAAAACAGGTTGGGGATACCTTTAAGGTGAATTATTGCTCCTATTTAGCAAAGTCATTTAAGACACTATAAACCTTTTAATTACTGTTTTAGATGAACATTTATTTTTCTATTTAAAAAAAACACCAGCGTTCTCTGTGCTATCTGAACAAACCAATCCTACCCACATAATTTCCATTCAGAATTAGTGTTACCTAACACAATACTGTCCATTCTCTGTTACTAATGTATTTGCACGTTGAAAGCATGTTGCAGTTAGCCTTCAAATGCTGCAGCAGAACAAACACAACCTGTTCCTCTGCAGATATTTTATCTTGGAGGGCAAAGACAGCATGGGGGGGGGAAAAAAACAAAATAATAACATAATGACAGACAGCATAATGGAACAGGAGGGCTTCATTTTTTTTAACCATTACCAGATCCAGTGGAGGTCATTTTTTCCATTTAATGGAGGTGTTATTTGGATTCTGCCACACAGACCACTTCCCATTTATTGACTGTTTCCAGAATTGTGAGGAAGGGGAACCAAATTGGATGAAGAGCTTCTGTTAGAAAAATGGTGTCATTTTAACCATCTGCTGAGGTGATATGTTTCTCTGGCCCGAACAAAAACGGATGGGGATACTTGAGGTGGAAATTATGGCATATGTGTAGCAGAACATAATGCTGCTGCATTACCGGACAAAATCCCAGGATAAAGTATATTTATGCTCCCACACACATTTTATCATAAAATTTCACAATATTTTCAAAACAGACAAATAACGCAGGGCTTATCTGGTATTCTTAATGAATTTTGTTTTTAAAGCTCTTACTACTATGGCACCATAGGAAATATTGTGTCGGAAAATGGTGACAAGGCCAAAACATTGATTAAAATATTAAAAACAACTCTTTCGCTCTGTGTTTGGATAAGCTTACAATTTAGGTTCATATTCAGCTTTTCCAGACACACGATAATGATGACATTTTTCAATTATTTTATCCTCCGTCTCATCAATATTTCCACAAATCCCATAATACATAATAACTCAACTGCTTAAATGAATGGCTGAATTAATTTTGATATGAATTTGATATGAATATATACCACACTACCTTGTTTATACTATACATCGTCTCATCGTCTTATTTTGGACATCCTGCAATCCTCATTAAGTTAAATGAGGCATTTTTTTCTACTGTTCTATTAGATTATTTAAAGGTAACAATGTGTTACTTGCTATAATATGTCTATATTATTCTACGTAGATAATTCTGTGACACTTTAGAACACAAGCCGTGTGTTTACAATAATTTTCCCCAAAACACAATCATTTKACATCGCTGGTACGATACTTCAACATTTCCCATGTGGCAGCACTTTTTCATATTCCCATCAGCCGATACAAAATTAGGCAAAGGTTGAAAAGACAAGAGCTGTTATAGAGTAATTCATTTCTTAAGAATAATAAAAAAAAGTCAAGTTCTTTAAACACAATATTTATTGTTTTTAAACCAGTTCTATATTTAAAACCCAACATGGCTGGCCTGTGCATAAACAAGTTTGTAAACAGGTWATTTATCAGCAGTTTCATCAGTTTGTATTTATTAAATGTGCTGCACTTTGCAATCTTTATCAGTAAAACTGTTACAGTGTTTGAATGCATAACACCTCTTTATTAGCTTGTGTTGCTAATCGTAGTTAGTCTAGTTGCTGAGGTCAGTGATCACAAGCAAGAAATTAAGACATAATTTTCTAACCTGAGTTCTTATTTCCAAGTTAAGTTGAACTCATCATTACAACTGTCTTGAAATCAGTCAGCCTAATGTTGGACTTTTCTTTGGATTTCATTGCAATTAATGATTTTGCCTTTTTTATGTGATATTCTCTTTTTACTTGCTTTGATACTTTGTTTTATAATTTCTTCCTGTTTTGATAATTTTACATGGTTGATGATTCATGTTTTATTTTTTTATGCTTTTATTATACTATACTTTATTTGTAGAGCCAAATGTGCTCTCTAAATACAGCGTATTTAAATTGATAACTGTTATTTAGGCTGGCAGTAACGGATACCAGTTTTCTGACCATACTTGCAGCAAATACAATACTTTCCAAATGGATCAGCAGTCTGTTTAGCAGTTTGGCTTGTTTTTGTATTAGTCTAAAGCACATCATCAYCCAAAACAAACAGCTTTTAGGCTGCAGTTGCTTGAACAGTAGGGTTTTCCAAAACATATGTCCTTCAAAGACAAAAAAACAAAAAAAAAAACAAAAAAAAGCTTTTCACGTAGACACCAGACTGTTTCATTTYGATGGTGTCAGTGTGCCTCTGAACACTGGGTTTGTGACAGAAGGGAGGAGAAGGGAAGACTGTAGATAACATACCCTGCCAACCTCCACCAGCTTCGTGATCATGACGATGCTGAAGCAGTTTTCCTGCCACACCATCCTCCAAAAATCATACAGAGTCTCCTGCTTGGGTCCTGGAGGGAAGAGGGAAAGAAATAACAGAAAAAGAGGCGAAACACGCTGCATCAAAGCCCGCCTTCTCAAGAAGCGACTTTTTGCTGTCATGAAATCTTGTATAATTGTGACCCAAGTGTTCCTTCTCAGATGACAGGGTTCTGATCTCTGAAGATTGCGCCTTGGACAAAGTTATTGGGGATTCCAGGAAGGCAGAACGGGAGGAGGTGGTGGTGGGGGAACAACAGTGGCTGATGATGAAAGTCTGGGGGACCACCAGTCACTCACTGTCATCTGAGAGGGGGAGACATTTAGGAAGCAAGACACAGCTTGAAAACTGGCAGAAAAAATATCGAGCGAGACAAAAAAGCGCAGCTGACATCCTTCCTCTCTCCTCCTGCAAGTTTCATCTGCTTCTCTGAGTGGAACAGGAGGGGAAGAGGGGTGCTGGTGCAAGATAAGCAGATCCTCGCCGTCTCTGCAGCGGAAGGCTATAGAAACCAATTCTCCTCAGGGTAGAYGAACTAGCAGGGGAAACTTAACATTTGCTCACTAATCAGAGCCCAGCTGCCTGTTTGAGGGGAGAGAGACTGAGAAGCCATCAATCTGCTCAACAATTCATCTAATCTCTATTATTTAGTTTGTGACAAAACAAGCTCGGGCTTTATTGACACACCATCAGCTCTGGATGCGGCTGCTTCTGGCGGAGGCCTTGTTTGCATGTGCTCACTGGTCAGATCATCTTCAAATGATTAAGACATGACAAAAAAAAAGAAAAACCAAAGAGCTCTGCTTCCCTAAATCCATACAGACACACACTAAAGCCTGGCGGGGATACTCACCCTGAGTGGCGATGAAGTGGTTGGATCGATGGTAGCCCTGGAAAAAAGAAAAAGAAAAAAAAAAGAGGAACGACATGCTGAGTAAGCCATCTGAGCCTCTGGCACAGCTGTAAGGGAGGGCGTCTCTCTCTGCGTCCCCCTTTTTTCCTAATCCCCTACCACCACCCCCCACCCCCACCCCAGCTCCCCCACTGAACCCGACTGCAACTGCGAAGCATGTTTATCATTTCCCACTATTGCACCTGATGAGTCCAGATGTCTTTGCCCTCAGTGAGAACACGGAGTTTGAAACATGAGGGCAACTGTAACGCAGAGACATCTTTGAAATAAATAAATAAATCTAAACATAAAAACTTTGTCGGGGGGGAAGCTGAGTGAACAATGTCTGAATCCCCGAGGCAATTTAATAAAGATATGACAACTAAAAGCTCAAACTTTTTTAATTTCAGCCGTCTAATCTACAGAAACATCTCTCTCCGAGCGCTATCTCGTGAAATAACAAATCAATTTCCACTGAAGGTTCAAATGTGCGCTATAGCTGAAGTGATAAATTAACAGACCAAAAACTGCATTTATATGTACGACTTCCCTCTTTTGCACAGATTTCACATAAATGCGTGAAACGAGCATAAACTGCCTTCAAGAGCAAAATTAATTATGAGGAGCAAAGTAGTTTGAAAAGCCGTTATATCAAAAGACGCGGCGGCTTTTGATATAGATGATAGATGTTTTCACACAGTGAGAATGGGGTGAATGTGAATGAACAGTGACACGTCACCTCTACGGCCTTGAGGTGAGCAAACAAAGACAAAAAAAACACACCAGGGACTTTGAATTACACAACACTTTTTGGATGAGCAAACTGTTCAAAGAAAGTCCTGCTTTAAAAATATATATATATATATATACTCAAAAAGCCCAGTTAACCTTTGTGATTCTTTGAAAATGTCACCTTGGAAAGCTCACTTTCGCTRGGGTTTAGTGTTGGTTAAGAGGAGCAGCTTGAAGCATAATTGACACTGTAATTACGTGACTTTTCCTGACTCTGCGGAGGGAAGAGAGCAGGTCGAAATGATCTGAATAAACTCCCCGAGCCAAACAACTCTCATCAAATCAGTCCGATGCTGTGATCCATAATGTAGATAACAGCGTTTATCTTTGTGCACTTCCCTTTTATGACAAGTCCCGTCTATGTTGCTAATGAGCTGCTGAGCTGAACTGCATCCAGTCAGAAAGAAACACGGACGTTTGAAATGGAGATGGATGACCATTGCTGTGAGGCCTGCTATCCACAATTCCTCAGGCCCTGACCAAACTCTGTCATCGTGAATCCTACCACTCCTCTTCTTCTTGAGACGGTTGCCATAGCAACTAAACTTGCTGATTCTTGGCCACTTACAAAAAAAAAAAAAAAAACTAACAAAAACAGCAAGGTTGTCTCTATCCAGAYAGAGAATCATCTCCTTGTGTTCTCTTAAAAGGAGACATATTATGCTTTTAAATCCTTCCTTTTCATATTTAAATCATTCAGCTGGGGTCTACAGAAAGTGGAACAATAAGGCTGAATTCCTCCCTGATTCACCTMTTTTCTGAGGTGTGCCTCAGATCAACTCGTTTTGAGGCTGTCTCTTTAAATGCAGAATGTCAATGGATGTCACCAATGGAAGACTTGTCCATCCAGCCTTTCATGTTGGATCCAGAGTCTGACCCAGAGGAGGATGAAGGCGATGAAGTTGTAGATGATTAGTCCAGATCTTATTTGGCATTTCCATCACAAAGACTGATGTAAYAGTTCAGAAAACGTCATAGAAAARTAGATAAAACTGAACGGGTTGAAAAACATGACCCAAACCGAATATGAAGATATCTACGCAGCACCAACTGTTCTGTGCTCCTAAATGAAATGCAGTTAACGACTAAAAAAAGTGGATTTTGCATGATATGTCTCCTTTCAATTCATTTACTGAGAACTTTATTTAGTTATTTGGTTAAAACGCTCAGCTGAAACGCCCCTAACTTTGGACACTTGTGGATAGAGGACAGTGGAAAGAGAGGAGGGGACAGAGCAAAAATAAAGCAATGGCAAGCAGAAGAATGAGCAGTGAAGTACTTACTTCCCTGTTAATCCGAATCTACAGGGTCCGAGGTCGAGGAAGTGGGATGGGGAGTAGAAAAAGAAGACATATAGGCTAGTTAATGAAAGAAGCTTTAGGAGTTACAGACAGGTGGGAGGCCTTAGTGTATACAGACGGTGTTACATATGCTTCCCTGTCCTTTAATCCATGTTATTTTATGTTACTAATGAGACTTTCCTAATAAAATAATGGCAAATAAATATTTAGGTAATAAAATATGCTACTGACACTGCCATGACTGTCTCCTAAACCAAGGCCTTGTCACACTATAACATCTCAGACAACTTCTACCAACTTCTTAAAAAAATCTATGACTAAGTTAATCATATAATTGATCCAGTCAATAGTATAACAGTATGTATGCATCCGGGGCCGGCCTGTGGCATGGGCAGTATAGGCAAATGCTAAAGGCACTATCCATCTAGGGGATGCCACAAGTAACTTTTACCTTGTTATCTGAGTTTAGTTGATTTCATCTGTAGAATAATCGCTGATTACTCAAGTTTATGAAGGTAACTTTTTATGTGGGTTTCTCAGCTGTTTGTTACCATATGAGGTGTTATATGTTKCAGAGRATGTTTCATGATAAAAGTWYCATATGATGCAGTYGAGACCAACTACTGGTGTTCAGTGTGAACATAGAAAACAAAATAAGGATAATAAAAGTTTCAGTTATGATCTAAGTTCAGGTTAAAGTTTGGTTTTCAGTGTTCATAAAACTTTGATTTTATGTTGTTTTATTAATCCYAAGAATTGAGTAAAATGCTCTTCAAATGGCTGGAAAATGTATAGTTTTGACTAGATCTTACCAGGAGGAATTACCTTGTATTATGAACTATTTTAAAATGGACAACCTTGTTTCAAAAGATAATACCAAATATAAAATAATTTAACTTGGTATGTGAATGTCTGTAAATTGGAAATGAGGTTTAAAAATTGCATAAGGAGCACCATCTAAAATCTTGCCTATGGCACCAAACCGGGTAGGGCCAGCCTCGTCTACGTCTAAAAGAGGATTCCAGTTGTTGTTGTTTTTTTTTTTATTCCCTTTTCATCATCAAAAACATTATAGTGTGACAGGGCCTCTACTTCCATTTAAGATTTGCCTGAGAAGCTGTGTTTTGTCCACGTGTTCCTTTCTAAATTAGAAGTGCTCACAACACACTCTGCAGTCTCATTTGCAGCCAGAATATATGATGTGATCTGTATTAGCTGCAATGGAATAACAAATAAGAATTATGTGAGAGCAAAAATACCTTCATTTGTCGTTGCCAGGCTCAGATTTTACTACACTGTAAGTGAAGATGTCCTGCTGGGTAATCTTGTGGGATGTAAGTGGTTACAGGGGAGTTGTTGAAAGCGTAAATATTAGTGAGAACAGAGCTACATATGGAAGATTGGAACAGTATAACAATGTTAAAGTATAAAAAGTAGCCTTATGCTCTACACAACCTACATGACTAATGAAAATGTAGTTAGATTTTAGTAAATTAATAAAACTCTCTTTAAGGCTTCAAGGTAATCGTTAGTCCTCAACAGATATGTTTTTCCAGCTATTTTCTCATTCCTGAAATGTTCTCGTGTGCTTTCGTGCCACACTAGCACTAAGCTACTACCACAAATATCATGTCTAAGCTAGGTTTTGTTGTATGATCTTGTCACAGTCACAGCCTAGGCAAGAGGCCAGGATGGCTAGTCCTGCTTCAGGTTCTCATTGTCCGACCTATGTGGTGTGGATGGGCTCCACTTCATTGATACACTGTTGTCACCAAACTTCCACTCAGGACCCCACTGTCTCCACAATGATTAGCCAAATACAACCTTGCTATAGTGGTTCTGTGAATGCTCAAAACCAAAATGGACCAATTTTTCTCCATCCCACTGTGGTATTATTGCGCTCCTGAAGACCTCACCAAGACCCTGCCAACTCCATCCACATTTTGGTACTTTAAAACTATTTATTTTACTAGTTTCACAAACTACCTCTAGCTTATTTTGGTATAATTAGCTAATGCAGAGTTGGTAGTTAACATTAAGACTAAGCTGAACAGGTCTGGACACCAGACTTCAATGAACTACTTGCAAAAAAAACAACAACGCTATTTAAAGAAGATAAATTTGCTGTACAATGTGTGGGGTGATTTCATTGGTTTAAACTCAATCTTCTTGTCAAGTTATTTTGACTTTCTTCCATCTCCTTTCTCTGCCCTTCTACTTTCAGATTTTTTGGAGGTCRTTTTCTCTGTAACTCTATGTTTTGCACTTTTTTTTTTACCAAGAGGAAGGGATATTCAAACTCTTTGATGAGCACAATAAAGCATTCTGACATGTGAAAAAGGGTTACAAGTATCACTAATAAAGAAACTCACAAATTTAAAATGTTTCAAATTTTGTTAAGTATATTGTTGGGCAACAAAAATCCTTACAATGTTTTACTTTACTTATTCTCGTGTATTATTTTTGATAGATTATTCAATCTTCAATAACAATAAATTTATTAGTTGTACATTGAAATGTTTTGCAATCTTTATAACTATAAAGCTATAAACTAATAAAATTTGGTTTTAAATTTATATAAACCTTAGGAAAATTTTTTTTTTAGCTGTTTATGCTTCTGGTTTGATCTCTTATTAGGAATGTTTGTGACTTCAACTTCACTTTGTGACCTTTTATTTTATAAATTGTGCCTCTCTCCCTTTTATATTATACTGCTGATCTAGACCACAAGAAATGTAAGAATCTCAACATTTTTGTAGGCATTGTGTCCATGATGGTGCCACTTTTTGAAGCAACAATCTGAGGCTGTAAGCTGTTGCAGTTCTTRCCATTTTTGGACACTTAGTGCAATTACATGGTGCTTGAGCCACTAAATATCAGGGAAATTAGTTCCTGAATTGAGAAAAAAATGAATACTTCACATTTCAGGATTTTTTTTTCTTTTAATTTAAAAACTCCTGGTCTTATTGTATGAAGTCAGCTGGATACAACAGTCTTGCTGACAATTTATCTTTGTGATTACAAGCTGTTTAATGCCTCATGTGATTAAGAAGTGGAAAATTGAAACTTCATTATTTCAAGAAGGCTAAAACCAAAGGAAATTGAAATGGAGGTTGGATTCTCTAACTAATAATTGGGGACAAACTGAACCACAACATTTTCCCTTCTTTCCAACAGCTTTGTGTCTTCTGTGAAGTTGGTAAATCAAGAATTAAATTAGCTATTTTAGGAAATAACAGTTTTGGTAATATAGTCTTGTCAATACACACATTTACAACAGTTACTTTTGATTCCCTCAAACTCAGGTTTCCATAACTTTTTCTTCACATTTTTAATGAATACAATTATGAAAAAGTTTTATTTCCTACTTACAAATAATGACAAACACTAAAAAAACAACAACAACCTAGAGTATTCTTAAAACGACTGTAAAAATGACAGATCTCCACTTATTCAATATATTTTTGTTCAAGTATCAAACTTTAATAACCCCCCATGTAGCTATAAAATAAAGGGTTTAATTTTTGTCACGCTGTATGAATGGGAGGGAGTTTGGAAAACTGGAAACACATGAAATGAATGGAGCACACGGAAGCAAACCATATATCAACACAACTTTTTTTTTGCTCAACGCACCAGGCAGGCAATTTTTATTCCAGTGTGTGGCCATCTATTTTTCTCCCAGTAGCCGTAAACTTCTCTTGTACGCCCGTGCTCCAACTGACACTGACTAAAGACGGGCTCTGCACAGCTCCCTACTGGGCCATAAAAAGATTTCTAGAAGTTTCTCTTTTGTTAAATACATACTTGAAGGGATTCTCGCCTCAGTAAATAAATGTATGAGAGAACAAGGACTTTCAACAGCTTTTCCTCCGCAGCATTTAAAATTCTGATTAGATTGGAATGAAAGATAGATTTTTTAAAAAATAATCTATTAATAGCTCATCATTGAAAATCTCAATTAATTTACATGAGGCAAAGTGTTTGGGTGTGATTCTGAAATGGAGCAGCAGTGGCAGAAAGCAACAGGAAGGCTGTTATCAGAGGGCTTCATTACTTATAAATGGAGAAAAATTTAGCCCAAGAAGCAAAAATAGTTGTTAATCATGGATTGTGTGCCAAAAATCTTGGGTAGATTAATTTATGACCAAGTTACTTCTATTGTTTTCCAGAACTGTGGAAAGGGTTTAAATTGACAGTACTTTTTGTACTTTAATTCTAAATAGGCAGGGACACTTTGGTCCTTTTTAAATTTATTTTCTGTCCAGTTTTTCAAAATTTGATCACAACAGAATGTTTTTACGTTAGTACTAAAATAGTAACTAAACAGGCAGGGCTAAAGAACTGCTTTGTATAATAAATACCTCTAGGTGATAGATCAGAAAGTCATAGATTTAGATGGTCATGTACTGCCCTCTATAAAAAGTATTTGATCTGTTGTTCATGTTAGACACTTATTAACATTAATCTCACCTAACGTCCTTGGTTTAATGATGATAACTTACTTTTATGGGTTCAATTAMCTTAAAACACATTTTCATTCACTGAAAAAATAGAATAGTTGATCCAAAATCAATGAATTGCTTCGAATGGTGAAAAGCAAGTCAGTTAAATTGATCCAAGTTCATTGGACACATTGACTGGACTTCTTTGAATCAATTAGTTCCTTTCACATAAATTCAAATCGCTCTGATTGAAATTGATGGAAAGTCAACTTAAAGTTCTAGGTTGTTCCAAATCAGAAAACTAAACTCACCACTTACATTATAATACAGCTTAAATCATTTTAAATGTGCGTTTCAGCACATTAGCATATTTTAGCAACAAATTAATGACAAGTTTCCAGTTAATAACTCGATGGACTCATCTTGTTGGTGTCAAAACACTGTCTTATTTTTTATATAAATTTGTATTTATTTATTTATTTATTTATTTATTTATTTATTTTTGTAGCTTCAGCTAAAGAAAGTAGAAGTAACAGGCTGCAGGTAACAAAGTGGTTACAGGCTCTTGGCTAAGTTGTCTGTTATCAGTCAACACAAGTCTGAGTTATCCCTTGAGTTTAGGGGCCCTGTCAATGACTGAGTGTTTTAAAGGTCAGAGGTAAGTGGCTCAACAGCAAAACAAACAAGGAAAACCCATTTCTCTGAAAAATTGTCAGGTATGGGACTGAAAAAGCAGCCAAAGTCTCTCGGGAAGCCTGAAGATCTATTGAGTTTAAAAGTCCRGCTGCTTAGAGGGAAAACATACAACACTGAGAAATGACTTTTGCATTAAAGCTGATTAAAACCACAACATGAGAGCTGTGTGTGTCCACATGTGTATAAACTGTATAAACTGTATAACTGTGTGCTCATCTACAGCTGACAGACACCACAGTGACAAAACACAAAGCAGCAAAAAATATAAAGCACTAGACTACTCTCAATAACAAAAAAAAAATCAATATTTACCGTATTTATTCGTGTATGATACAATCTCATGTATGATACAACCCCCCCGAGCTTAAAAAGCATTAGAATGTAATCCTCAAACTACCTCCAATTTMATACAGACTTCAAGATTTTTCAGCCTTTACAGTCTTTATACATATCAGTAAAATGATCATTGGACTGTTCATTTTATTTTAACAACATATGTACTAAAATGTGTTTTGACAACAAATATACATCAGCTGTAGCAGCATCATATGAATTCTGGCATTTTACACATAGTCCACCAGGATGAGCCAACACAAAAGTCAGAGACTTCACTGAGATTTGGGCCATCTTCAAGTGGAAAAGCAGATTACTTCCTACTCGCAAGCGCCCCCTCTGGTGGGGAAACGTTTTTTTCAGGGATACAAACTTTTCCAGAACACCGGTAGATGGCAGCCATTACAGACGAACATGTGTTTGTTGTTGTTCCAGGAGCAGCTCAGTCACATGATAATGTCATTAGTTCGTTATCATTACTAAGCTGCAGGAATACTTTTCCCMCCTTTTTCTTCACATCATGTCGCCTGCCTGGATCTGTCATTGTCTCGCTCTGAAGCACAGAGGAGTGTCAGAGGTAAGCTCGTTCCAGCTGCTTTTTATGACGCGGTCTCATTGCAAGCATTTTGTGAATGAAGCCGATATTTCAGTTAAAATACACAAGTAAAAATATTTATCTGAGTACTACCCCCCAAATTTATGGATGATTTTATGGATTTAATATTACGTATCATACTTGAATAAATATGGTAAATCCTTATAAGAAAAATACGTTGCAAATAAGCAAAAAATTAGGTAATCAGTATCAGAGAGCTTCTCCTCTCTGTCTGAAAAGAGGAAAAACTTTTATCTAAACTCTGGTGAAATAGCATTTTGTCTATAATATGTTCTGCTGTACCTGACTGGCTACATTTCAGTGTGTTGGGTTGGGGGTCATCAGCACCGACACCAACACTGTAGTGGCTGCTGAGTGGTGTTTTCCCTCTAATGCCTGCACCTCTGTGCCCCAAAACACTAATAGAGACCCCCACAATGACTAAACCCTTACAGCAGCGAAGTCTTTAATGCCCTCTCATTGTGTGGAGCTCTCCGAAAACACGCCACCACTGCTCATTCTCTACAAAGAAATGAAAGAGAGGAAAAACACTCTGTGGTGTCAAGCATTTCAATGATACAATTTAGCCCAAAAGGAGGAATCTACGTGAAAAAAAAAAATGAAACGGGTAGGAAGCAATTTTCTTTAAATGAGAAGAAATAATATCAGCCCCTTTTATTTTTTTCCCCAAACAGATGCTTCATAATCTTTTCGACAGAGATGGGATCTTCCAACGTCTTATCAACTGCAGGCAGAAGTGGGAGTACAACAGCCCGCCTCGACATCTCGCAGAGTGTCACATTTACTTTACAGTATTCCCCATGAGAAGCGTGGAGAATAAATCTAGCGAGATAAAGAAGTCGCATCAGATCTTTTGGCTTCCCTTGACAGAACTCAAATAAATAGYAACAACAAAGGACTGTGACAGGAAAAAATAAACTAAACAAACTACAGGTATCTATTTCAAGCTGTAAATTTGTTTTACTGTCTTTTTATATACTCAATTAAAAGCTTTCGTTAGAAACTTTTATGAATGAAAACAAGCATGAATGAGACACATTAGCGACACGTTTTATATGACCGATGTTATCATGGCGCCAGACATGTGACAGGATCATCTCCTTCCTGTTTTTTTTTTCCCAGAGAGTGAATAACATCAGCGATGTCTATTTAATTTGGGTGGATTTGCACTGTAGCGTCTTACAGAAAGGCTCATCTCCTTTACGGGCATTAAATGCATTTATTCCTGTCAATTTTAATAAAAATGATAGCAGAGGTATTCAGGGTCAGGGATCTGGTGCAGCACCTAACAGCGATGGCATCTGGCAAAACACTTGTGGGGAGAGGTGTSTGTGATTGGATGAAAGCTTCCAGGTGAAAGTGGGGCAGCAGACTTAGAGAGGAATGAGAGAGTGAGAGAGAGATGGACTGTGGCTTTGCAGGCTGTGAGAGCTGGAGACTGGGCAGATTTGCATTTCATACAAAGCGGAGGCAGGAAAACAGGATTAGACTTACATCAATGTAGTTAGCGTTAATGTAGTCTGAGTTAGGATCGCCCAGCAGAGGATGGAGCTTCACTCTGTGACGGTCATCTGAGGCAGATACAAAGGAAAATCAAAAAAACAAAGAAAAATATTTGTCATTTTCACTGTTTTTCTTCAAGCGTGGGTTTCACATTTCCATGATTACTTACATCCCAGCAAGGTGTCGTGCCTCCCTTTGGTTTTGTCCTTCTTTTTGGTGCAGTCCCAGCCATCAAAGAAGCTCTGCAGAGATGGAAAGCGACACTAGTTGCAGATTTCAGGAACACAGTCTCTGTGTGTGCACAGTTCTAATACGTTAAATAAACAAAATCAGTTTCAGCACATTTGTTTCGGTTGAAAATGAAAAAGACTTGTGTTTCATGGTGAGAATTTATAAAGAGCCATCAGTGGAATTTTCCATAAATAAATCAAGAGTTACTGCATTCTTTAGAGACTTTTACTGCTTTAAGCATAAAAGAGGATTTAAGGAAAACACTACAATACAGTATAATGTAGCCTTTGTTTCTTCTAAGCTCTCTGATTTTCACAGCATATCCTCTCTGCCTTTGCTGCTGTTTTTCAGCCAAATCAGGTGTTGCCTCCAATCAAAGAACTTATAGTTTACCATCACCACCATACAGCAGTTTGCATAAAAAATGCTCCAAGCGTAGAAGTTGATTACGACTGACCCAGAAAGGTTGATTAAAACTTAAACTCTGCTTTAGTTTCAAACACAAACATCACACAATATGTTGAAAAAAGCAAAGTGGACAAAAGTCGTTTTTCCTGAGGATTTTGTGGGGTTGAAATGGCATCGAAACATCTGAAACATCCACAGACACACTGTACAGGCTAAAACAGCCGTATTTCCTCTATACGTYTAGTTGTTTACTGAAAATGTGTTTAAATCTTAAACTCATCTACAATTAGCTGAGATTAGCGAGAATAAACAAGCGCTTGAGATGGAAGTCAGTTTCTCTACTTCTGAGGCCATGGTCCTTGACCAGAAGAGGGTGAAATGAGTTGAGGTGGTTTAGGCATCTGATTAGGACGCATCATGGACGCCTCCCTTTAGAGATGTTACGGGCATGTCTCACTGGTAGGAGGCCCAGGGGAAGGCCCAGGACTTGCTGGAGGGATTATGTTCCCTCTCTGGCCTGGGAACATCTCAGGGTCCCTTAGGACGAATTGGAAAGGGTTGTTGGAGAGAGGGATAACKGGGTTTCTCTCCTGGACCTGTTATATCTGCAACTCAACCAATAAGTAGCAGAAGATGAATGAATTGATTTATCTTGTTTCATGTTATCATCTGCTGATAGATTATGGTCTTTTTAAACCACATTTACCCCTTATTTCAGCCCTGAACTGAACAAAGTCATTAAGTTTTTTCCCCCCTAACAAGTATATATGAATAATAAATAGTGTGAATCTAAACTGTTTATATGATGAATCAACCATTATTTAGTGTTAAATTCCCAGTCTAGACTGGTTGTGTGTTTCAGTGATTTGATCAAATAAAAAAGCTTCAGTTATATAAGTTTAAAGGTTTAAAAAAAAGCTACATGTAGACTGAACATAGAAATTGTGCCTTTTTCTCAGCAGATGGGTGTGACACTAAAGCAAAGAAATAAAGAAAAGGATCTGCCAAACTGCAAGCATGCATATCTTCTCAAGAAGGGCCACAAGTGACTCTGAACCAAATCATATCAGCAATCAGCCACTTAAAATTGGCTGGCAAAAGCCCCCCAAAAGCCTACAATACATTCATATGTGTCTACCTTTTGAGGTTTTCTACCTATGGAGGAATTTTCTAAAAATTCTGCCCAAGTTTGAAGGGGGGCGCAAAGGATTACAAAGCAGTTCCCTCCACAGACAGCCAAGAACCAGTCAAATCCTGCCTAGGATTACATCCTCCTCCTCACATTTCCTCCTCTTTCACGCCGTCRCTCCATGGCGGTTTCTTTCTGAATCCCTAATTCTCATTCCCCCTCCTCCCCTCGTGGCTCTTCATTGCTTCCTTCCCCCTGTCCACCTTCTTCCCTCTTATTTTTCTTGCCTTCCGTACATTTTTGACACGAGATTTCTGAGCTCTGGTTTTTTGTCTCTCCCACCTTTCCTATGCAGTTCTCAGGAGAGAGGAGAGAAGCGGTGATGGGGGAGAAAAGCAGGTAGAGGAATAGAAGAAACGAATGGCAGTTCACTGAAAAGAAGAGTGGGGACTCTGGGGAAAGCTTCATTAAACGCTTTGACTGTAGAAAATCAGTGAGGTGGGTTGGTTTGATAACACAAAATGAGTCAAATTAGTGACTGAATTATTCATCGTTTATTTTTGATTTTTACCATCCAGTTCTACTCACATTTATAGTCTCATTCAGAGTTTTTGAATTGACTTTCTGTCCTTAATGACTCTTTAACCCCTGGAAAATCAAACAGAATATTCCAGAATTTAAAAAATGCAGAAAAAATTATTCTGACAGCGGCAACTACAAATGTTGCATCAGATGTTTTTAGTTTAAAAGGACTCAGTCTGTGGCCTCTGCCGCGACGTAGCTGTGAATTAGTGTTTCGAACGAGTCCATCGCTCTTCCAAACCTCACCCTCTTGGAGTGATGTGAAGGCAGTTCTCCAGCGAAACTCTGCTGTTCTTCCATCGTAAGTTTCAGCAGTGGGAATATGACAGCAGCTGCCACACATACCATCTTTACAGCCCACAGTAAATTCTTGATCAATGTTTTTTACAGAAAGCAGGTATTCCTCGGGGAAATAAAAACTTATGCCTGTGAGAGGTAGGGGGCGGGGTGTAATACAATAGCCCTCATCATTTTCCTTTATAATAGCGAGAGACAATCCATCAAAACACATACTCTTAGCACAGAGAGGGAGAAAAAAAACCTCAAAGAGGTGTGTATTGATTTTTTCGAGTGGAGTGTGTTTTGGCCAAAAGGGACAATTTAATGAGTCTACAAGCAGAGTTTCAGAGGGGGGGACACCATGTACCAAAGACAAAAGACGTTTTCTCTTTTTCATGAATGCTATAGGCTGAGTGGGGGCAACAGAGAGGGACTTCTCTCTTGGGTATAAACTCAACTTGTTGCCACCATTGTTTCACTTGGGGAGAGGCATTGAGAGATCCGGGTGTGTCCATTGTGTTACTCAAATTATCCAGCTACAGATAGTAATGACTGCAACAACACGGGCAGAAAAAAGGAAATCTGTCTGCGCTTTATGGTTCAATCAAGAGATAAACTCGGAAGGTGCACAAAGAGAGCCGAACAAAAAGGTTGTACTAGACAGAGTGTGAAGTTGGTTGCGCATTTCAGGACGGACGACAATGACCTGGGTGTTATATTTAATCAATACCCCATTTGGCTTATGCAGTTTAGATTTTACAAGTGGTTCAATTGATACTGTAATGAGGTATTTCTTTTCCTGTTAACATGTCTTAGAGGAAAAGAAAAAACAGGATGAATTTATCTGATATGCAGTCAGAGTCTGATTACTTTCATGTGTCCCAAAGAGCTCACTTGGCCCAACATAAATATCAGCAGAATACTTTTAACAGATTCTGGGCAAGAATGTAGCCAAACAAGGTATTGGATAAACCAACAAYATTTTGTAGCAGTAGTGCCATCAAGTGGGGACTGGGGTGGGGGTGGTGGGGAGGGCTTGCCCGCTATAAATTTGCTGGTCATCCACCCCAACAACTCACAACAAGTAGGATAATGACCCTGCTAGTCTCAATTTTTAGTAGCATGCATGTCGACTTGTACGGGTTGTCTGTAAATTACACAGATMCCCACCCACACCCCTAATTGTGCTGGTATGCAGATGCATACCTTCACAAGGTTAAAAAAAATCCGATTCTAATTTATTATACATCTCCCCACCTGCCACACTGCAGTAGCTGAAACTCAGACTGCATCTTGGACTGTTCCTTTCAGGGAGTATGAAGACAGTGTGGGAAGTGTTGCGACTGATCCGTAGCCCCATCTTTATATCCTTATTCCATGCGAGGGTAATAAGGATTCTTGGTGAACATTACGGATTTTTGAAGATCAGTGTGCAGGTAAATGTCCAAAGGGGTTGACATACATGTAATATAATTTTAAAATATAAAATAATTTTGTCACTAAACTGTCATCATGGTATTGAGATTAGTCTTGTGCAAACCAAGGCCATGGTAGCTGGCAAACAGGAGCTAGTCACAGTAGACATCAAGGACACAGAWCTCAAACAAGTTAGAGAATTTCCTTACTTAAGAGTCTTTGTTTACATTAAAGAGCAACTAATTAAAAAAGGTCAGGACAAGGATAGCCAAAGCTGTCATCCCCCTAGCAAGACTCAAGGAGTCTTAGGACAGATCAGTATTGGTGGCTACCAAAGTTAGACTCCTACATTCACTAGTCAGTCCTTCTCCATGCTGCAGAAACCTGGACTCTGAACTCTGAGCTAGAGCAAAGAATAGTTACATAAAAGAATATGTCCATTTGAAATGACCCTACATCTAACACCTGTTTCCTCCTACACTACAAATACTGAGGTCCAGCGTAGTACTCACTGAAGATCATGACTCCTTCCTAACACATATCAAGAAGTTGAAGTGCTTTGCCTATGTAGTGAGGGATAAGGAAACGCTGTCAAACGTGATACTCAAAGAAAAAGCTGAAGCACCCCTTATAGGGGCGGCCCCACGTCCATGAGAAAATTACACCCGTGACTGGACCGGGCTTCCTTTCCCTGCCTTCACTCATTTTGCTGAAGATCAGCAAAGGTGAAGGTTGTTGGTGGATGACTACCCCCAGGGCACTGGAACTAGGGGACTGACAATGATGATTTCAGAAGATATCTGTCTGACTCTCACATTGCTTTATCTTTAAAATAACCTATAAATGACAACAGGCAAGTAACATTTCTGTTTTGGCTTTTGGTTTTGGTTAAAGGAGTCCAGTTTTTCTCAAACTGAGTATGAGTAGTTAATCGCCAATACCATGTACCAGTATAGAATACACTGTTGTTACTGATTTAGAACTTAAACTTTACACAATGACYTTAAAAACACATTTTTTAAACAAGGTGTCTCTCCTTTAAATATGGAACTGAGAAACATTTTATTTAAAATRTAAACTGTAACACATTCAACTGGGAATCAAATGTGATATCAATACCGGTATCAGTACTGAGTATTGGGGCATTTTAAACGAGTATGATTACTTGAGAAAAAGCTGGAATAGGGCCAAATACTG